AAGGGTTTTGGGCGTTGGCTAACCCAACAAATAACAGAAGGGTTTTGGGCGTTGGCTAACCCAAAAACCAAAGGTTTTTGGGCGTTGGCTAACCCAAAAGAGCCTGGACAGCCGGGAGGATTCCTCCCAACTGCTGATGGCACACCATCAGCGACCAAGAGAAACCCTCCGGGCCGTCAAGGATGTACACTCTTGACGGCCAAGAGAAACACTCTTAGCCGTTGAGAGTGTACACAGTACACCCTCAACGGCCAAGAGAAACACTCTTAGCCATTGGGAGTGTACACAGTACACCCTCAACGACCAAGAGAAACACTCTTAGCCGTTGTGAGTGTACACAGTACACCCTCAACGGCCAAGAGAAACACTCTTAGCCATTGGGAGTGTACACAGTACACCCTCAACGACCAAGAGAAACACTCTTAGCCGTTGAGAGTGTACACAGTACACCCTCAACGGCCGAGAGAAAGACTAGTATTGTTGCTTACATTGCTTGTCTCACAGGCCACCCGTTTGTGCAAATCAACAATCATGAACATACATATATTCAAGAGTACATTGGTAGCTATGCTACTGATCCAGGAACAGGGTGCCTCCGTTTTAAAGAAGGTGCTTTGGTTTGGGCTCTACATCAGGGCGCATTGGTTGTCCTGGATGAATTAAACTTGGCTCTATCCGACGTTCTCAAAGCTCTCAATTGATTACTTGGCAACAATCGAGAGCTCTTAATTCCTGAGACTCCAGAAATTGTCAATCCTCATCCAGACTTTGCTTTTTGCTACTCAAAATCCACCTGGTCTCTATGGTGGTCGAAAGGTTTTCTCTCACGCGTTTTGGAATCGGTTTATCAAGCTGCATTTTGAAGATTTTCCGAAAGATGAATAATGACCGACAGGGAAATGCTTGGCTGTTGAGCGTGTACACTCTCAACAGATGACAGAGAACTGCTTGGCCGTGTAGGGTGTTCACTCTCAATGGCTGAGAGGTTCTCTCTTGGTTAGAGATTGTTTTTCTGGACCTAGGTACCTGTCCATTTTTTCAAGAAAATAGATACCATGTACTGCACCAGACACCTGCCGGGGGGGGGGGGGGACCCGAGGTACCTGTTGCAGGTACCTCAGGGACCTCCCCTCTCTTTTTAACCTAGTTTCACCCCCAGAGTCCCCAGTCACTTTATCATTATTATTGGTTTTTCATATTTATTGTAAAATATCCCTCACAAGTCAATTTTTTGGCATTTTTTCATACCTGTTGTTATATATCTACATCTAATTGGAAGAATCTTACTTTTCTATTTTTTTCATATTTATTGTAAAACATCAGTCCCAAGTCACTTTTTCATTTGTTCATATTTAATAATTTTTTGTAAAGTTTGAACTATCTACAACTTATAACTAATTGGAAGAATCTTCATTGTTGTCCAAAACTATCACCCTCCTTTTTGATTTTTGGTTAGAATTCTTGTTATCCTTGAGTCCCTGTTTCCATGCAGCCAAGGTACCTTCTAAGTTCTTGGATCTTGGATTTCTTGGAGTAGAAGGCCACCATCATTTTGGTAGGGAAGTGAGGGGTGTTGAGATCTGAGCTCAATCCCTCTAGAACTCTAGCAGGACTGTTCCTGTCAGCCGGCAAGTAAAAACATTCTACCCCTTAGAAAGTTTATCAGTTTTTACTACACCGTCTGCAGCCTCTCAAAGTTTCACATGCATTTCACTGGTTATTTTCCATTTCAATACTTTCATTTTCCTTGTTATTAGCATATCTTACATGCTTGTATCTAGTTACACTCAGATAGAGCTTATGAGTTGTACTTTCTGATTCTCTTGTTCCCCAGACTTTCAGAAGAGACGAAAATAACAACACCCTTTTATTTTAAATCATTCCTCTTCCATTTGGAGATACATCAACTCATCACTACTTCAAATTGGCCTGTTCCCTTCAAATCACCACATCACTGTCTGGAAATCCAAGCCTGAACTTCTCAAAAACTTATCAACGGCTGGGCGTGAACACCTTGGACCGTATTAGATTCTTTCTACGACTTGGAGCCACTGGTCAACACCAGTAAACTTCCATCGAGCAGATTCTAGTCACCTCGGAGTAACCCACCGCTGACAATTGGCGACCACCCCCTTATACCTGTACACCTGGACAGCCCTGTGCAGACGGAACCCTCACTTTACGAGGATTCATCCTTTTTTTTCTCAGTTTTTTTTAAGAAGAATAAACTCTGGTTCAACCTTGCGGATTAACACAGATAAATCATCATCGTCTTGGTATTCCTCGTTGTTTCTTGGTCATCAAGCCGGACGACAAACATCTCTCCCATCTCTTATACTCTTCTCATCTTTTCATCAAGCATTATTTCTGGACCAAACACATCGCCGGGTATCCCTCTGAACCAATTGTGGTCCAAACTACGGTTCTCTTTTGGAATCAGAATTCAATCAGTCATCACTGTTTCTCTCTGGTCGTCTGTTGATCCCTTTTGATTACAATGTCTGATATGTTAGAAGTCACAGTCCTCCGCGAGGAACTCACCATCTTACGGACTCGGCTAGAGACCCTGGAAACAAGAGTGACAACAATTCTTCCATCTCATGTTCAACTACCAAGTCTCAAACTTGCAAAAGCCAAGGAGAAGCCGGAGGATAGCAAGGAAACGATCTCGCCAAAGTCCTCGGCTCAGCTCATGAATCAAAGTCATGGAACCCTTCGAAGCCGTTCATTTAAGGTGATGAGACATCTCATCAGCGTGGTGGATGTCTTGCGTGTTGAAGATGTTGTGAGGAAGACCAAGAAGCCCCTGCCTAATCTTCAAGATCCGGAGACCTCGCTAGCTGAAACGATCAGGACAAGACCTCAGCAAACGAAGACAAGTCCTTGTTCTAAGTCCGACTCAGATGTTCAGGAGCTCGGAAGCGATGTTGAAAAGACACACACATGTACATCGTCAAAACCTATGAAAGCATCACCGAACAAGAAGGCAGTGCCTTGTTCTAAGTCCGGTGCACCTCGGGTATATCATCCTAAACGCCCGCGCAAGTTAGCAGAGTCAGCAAAGAAGCCTCCGATACCGCCAAAGAACTTGGAGAAAACTCACAGCACAAGCTCTGATACCCCTCGGCGCCTTCATGCTAAAGCCCCTTGTTCCATCACTGCGCTTCCAGCAACAATCGAGTTCCGAGGAATGATGAAAGCCCAGTCAGGCAAGGAGCCTGGGGAACCGCCGAGTAGACTAGAGACGACTCTCAATGCAGGTTCTGACTCCCCTCAACACCTGCATCCTAAGCGACCTCAAAAAGTCAAGTTTTCCAACAACTCGGCTGCTTTAGATCAACAGTCAAGAGTAATACTAAAGACAGCCGAAATTCCAACGGTCACAAGAACTCCAAGAAACATCCTGCCTGAAGTTTTTGCATATAATGACCTCCAACTTCGCTCCGAACGATTCTCCCTCCTCAAGCACGACCCCGCTATGCTAAATCTCCTACCAACATCTGTCAAAGACAAGCAATTCATTGCAACTGCATCAATGACCGATATAGAAAACTTACCACTGGCATCCAAAATGTTGATCAGAAGAAAGATACTGGGTATTTGGGAATGGAAGGAAGGCACTTCAAGAGCTAGGCTTCATGAGTACAAGACACCAGAACCCGGGACTACTATCAGTAACAGAAGCTTTAAGTTTGTTGGTTTTGCTTGGAGAGGTGATTTAGGACAACAGCCCCCAAGAATAGAAGAGCTTCATGAAGACATCTCACAAGGCGCCGACACTCTCAGATGGTATTGGTTCAAGGATCTCTGGTTACTTTTTTACTTTGATTAATTTTTCTCAAATGATAGCTTCATCATTTTTTTTCTGTTTTTTTAGAGGTACCAAATGTCAGCCGGCAAGTAAAAACATTCTACCCCTTAGAAAGTTTATCAGTTTTTACTACACCGTCTGCAGCCTCTCAAAGTTTCACATGCATTTCACTGGTTATTTTCCATTTCAATACTTTCATTTTCCTTGTTATTAGCATATCTTACATGCTTGTATCTAGTTACACTCAGATAGAGCTTATGAGTTGTACTTTCTGATTCTCTTGTTCCCCAGACTTTCAGAAGAGACGAAAATAACAACACCCTTTTATTTTAAATCATTCCTCTTCCATTTGGAGATACATCAACTCATCACTACTTCAAATTGGCCTGTTCCCTTCAAATCACCACATCACTGTCTGGAAATCCAAGCCTGAACTTCTCAAAAACTTATCAACGGCTGGGCGTGAACACCTTGGACCGTATTAGATTCTTTCTACGACTTGGAGCCACTGGTCAACACCAGTAAACTTCCATCGAGCAGATTCTAGTCACCTCGGAGTAACCCACCGCTGACAGTTCCAAAGATCATGATTACATAACTCTCAGTCATTTTCCTAATGACATCAATGGTGAACATTATTCTCAGTCATTTTCCTAATGACATCATCAGTGATGTCTGACATAAAAGAACCTCTCTCGTGAACTCACTCGCTTTCCTCTTTCCTCATGAATCCCTAAAAATCATTCTCAAGACTCTCTTCCTCCTTCTTAAAGTCTTCGGATTCATCCACTTACCTCGACAAACTCATCAGTTATCTTATATTCTTTTGTAAGAAAATAGTCGACTACATTGTTATTCTTTATCGCTACTCGCTCTCTTCCCTTCTTAATCAACATTTTGCCGACCATCACACTTTCTTCGTGAACTCGAGTGCTTCCCCTTCCTTTTGACCTTCCGCCGATATTCAGCACGTTTGATCTTTCTTCCTATTGTCGTAGGTCATTGACTCAATCCTCTTTTGTCAACTCATCTAAATCTCAACTGAAATCTTTCATTATCAGTTCTTCTTTGTTTCCTATTTCCTTGTTGCATTTGTTTATTGCGTCCCTTGTTACAATTGCTCCTGCCTTTAGGTACAATATTCTTTTTATTTGTCTCATTAGGACGGTTCACATTTCAAATTCTTTAGCAAATTTTTTATATGAAGTTAGCAGAGGGAATTGAGATCTCACACTTAAAATTAGCCTACTGCCAGTGCAAGTTTGGACAAAGTTTTGAAATCAGCAAGCAGAAAGTTTACTACAAGTTAGCAGTGGAAAGTGTGAAATGTGAACCGGGCTATTATTATTATTTCTTATTGTATTTCATGCTCTTACTGATCAGAAATACAAACCTTTAGTTTGACACTTGACAAGGGGGTACCTGTAGAGGTACCTAGGTACCTGTTCAATTTTTCACAAAGAAAGGTACCAAGTACCGCACCTGGCACCTCCTGGCGGGTGCAGGGCGGGTGCAAGGGGTACCCCCCAGGAGGTACCAGGTACCTGCAAAAAGTACAGACAAACGATCTCTACTCTTGGTTGTTGAGTGTGCACACTCTAAATGGCCAAGAGTGTTTCTCCTGGCCGTCAAGAGTGTACAGTGGGTGGACCATTATTTTTGGCTGCTTGTTTTGGATCCCAGAGCTTCAAAGCACCAGATTGAAGTCATGAGACTTGGTCAATTGGTGCAGAATAGGTCCCAAAAAATGAATATGAAAAAATAAAAACAAAAAACAAAGGTTCAAAATTTGTGAAAAATAAAAAATAAAATTTGTTTTTCTCAAAAGCTTTGAAATTCATTTTGGGGGAGTGAGAGTGCTGAGAGAAAGGAAGATTGGGATATTAGAAGAATGATTATGAATGAAAATTTTGCAAAAATTGCTTTCCAGATGGCTTCAAAGAGCTGTTGATTGGGGCATTCACCAGCCCACATTGCAGTAAAGCACTAGAATTTACTGTTTTGGCTCCAATCTGGACAACCAACCTGGCCAAACCTTTTTTGGTTCCAATTTTTTTCATTTATAATCATTCTTCCCCTGTTCCACTCTTTCTTTCTCTCAGCACTCCCACTCCCCCAAAATAAATATCAAAGCTTTTGAAAAAAAAACAGTTTTATTTTTTATTTTTCACAAATTTTGAAACTTTACTTTTTGTTTTTATTTTTTCATATTCATTTTCTGGGACCTATTATGCACCACCTGAACAAGTCTCATAGCTTCAAGTCTGTGTTTTGGAGCTCTGGGGTCCAAAACAGGCAGCCAAAAATAACGGTCCACCCACTGTACATCCTCGACGGTCGGGAGGGTTTCTCTCGGCCGTCAATGGTGTGCCATCAGCAGTTGGGAGGAATCCTCCCGGCTGTCTGGGCTCTTTTGGGTTAGACAACACCCAAAACCCTTTGGGTTTTGGGGCATCGATCCCCAACTCCCTTGGGGGTTGGGATTTCTTTTTAATTAAATTCTGTGGGGATTCCACTCCCAAACCCCAGGGAAATCAGTGGATTTTACGGGGGTTTTGGGGTTTGGGAGTTGACTCTCCACTCTTTGGGAGTTGATTAGCCAAAACCCTTGTAAAAATATAAAGCCCTTAATTCACTTCCAGCAGCCTAAACTGCATGCTTGATCCAAACATTCTTGACTAGACTCACAGCATTCACAAGGAGCTAGGAAGAAATACAGGTGGTGGTACAACCTGAAGTCATTTTCCATCAATCAATTCCTGATCATCTTCTGCTTGCTTCAATTTATCCCTTTTTGCTCTGCAGGTTTTTTTTTCATTACAATTTCTATCATAATTGTGTCTAATTTTTAAAATTTTCCATGAGGGAAAACTATAGGAAGGTAGCTACAATTTTTTTTCTCAATTCTTACTGTTTGTTATTTTGCTGTTCTTATCTCTCAAATCCTAATTGATTTTATTGTTCCTTTCTTGTTCTTTTTATTTGAGCAGTTTTGATACTGTTAGCTTGGATTGATCATTACCATAAATTATAATAAACTCTTAAATTCCTGCATCGACATCTCTGATTCCCGCCTATCTTTGAAGATATCCTTCTTGACCAGGAGCCAGGGGGAGTTCGTATCGCTAACGACGCTGAAGGATATCCCTAATTGCGCTCGATACACATAGCGAGTGTGCGCGGTTGGCCAGTGAGTTCAAAAGAAACTTGCTTGATGCAGTAGTTTTTATCCTGGTGTTGATACTGCCACGTTTTTCTTCATCGGAGATGACCGTTAGGTCTACGAGAGGGCTTTGCCTTGCCGAACCCCTTCGTTTCCCTTCTTTTTTCCTGAAATGGACCTTGGAGAAGGTTTTCACCACAGAGCCGTCCGTTGCAGGCCCCTGGATAGACTCTAATGGGATTGAAGTAGTAGTAGGCGATAATAATGCGGTTTCTGAGCCACGTCCCTTCCTCTTACGAATCCCCGACAAAGCAGCCCCGGAAACTGAGTTGATTCCCGAGTGAACTAGTGGAGTTCCTTTTGCTTGAGAGATGGACTGATGGATTGCGTGATCCGGTCGACCCCTCATCTGAAAACCGCCCACCCTATTGTTTTCCGAGTCGAATTCGGAAAGAAAATCAGGCAGGTTGTTTCTGGAGCCCACGGCCATTCCAGAAGAATCAAGTGGATAATGTTGACCAGATACGACATTTTCGTGATGTATCTCTTGCCTGTGTGAGAGGGAAGAGGCAGCAGATACATCGTTGATATGATGAAGAGATCCAACCGGCGTCCCAGAAAAAGTCATGTCATTCCACATAGGGGGGATCGTTTCCCACTCATGATTTGCTAAATAAGATTGGTTCAGTGCATCATCCATTGCCGCACAGAGACCGAAGAACATGGCATGGATGATGTAGTGATTGGTGCGGAAGTGCATGCTGGTTATGCAGTGAAGTTGGGAGATTTGGAGCTAGTTGGTTTTTATTATTATTCAAGTGGTCCGGACAATGTTCCACTCAAAGAGGCTGTATCGTAAGATTGCAGAGGTAAGCGGGCCAAGTTAGCATATTTAGTATAATGGAGTAGTCCGTGATGGAGTTTTGATTAGTTTTTGCAACTTGAATATCACCCACGCTCAGTTCCTACTCTCAGTACCAGAAATGAAGGTAAAAAAACGGATGGTAAGTTGAGGAGAATTGAAGGAATAGAGGAGACACTGGCGCTTCTCGAGCTGTGGGTTCTTTCGATCAACTTACAATCAGAATTGTAAATAAATAAATACGAGCTGGTCAGGAAACTGCCCGGTCGCTTATCTCCCAGCCTCGTTGGGTTTATGTATGATCGGCTATGTGGACCCGACAGAGCAAGACAACGGCCCAATCCATGTTCCCGCTGGCGCTACTTTACCAAGAACACAGATCCTTGCTTAGAGGCGGCATGTTTCATCAGTATTGAAGACTAGTTTCACATGCCTTGGTACAAATGTCATAACATAACAAGCTTGGGTCAGAGAAGTTTGGGAAGCTTTAAGGGCAATGGGGAACATCTGGGCCAGGCACGTATGAGGGACTGTTTGGTCGAAGATCTGAAGTATCGAAGAAATAACTCAAGATAGGGATCCGAGGCATGAAAGATGAGTTGGTGCTCCACCCAGAAGTGTCAAGATCACTACATGAATTCCCCATCCTGAAACTGGCCTCTGAGACCCCATACGAAGCGGGGCGGGTAAGTCGCGTTGGCCGCGGGCGCGAATGATTTGACACCCCCGTGGCCCCGCAAGACGTTGACGCCCCCAATGACGCACTGTTTGACTATCATCTCAGGGCAGCTCAACGCGCTGTCGCCCTGGCGGAATAAGTCCCCCACTGAGTCTCCTTCCATCAACAACACCAGCCTCTGAGGTCAGACTGGAACTGGGCCGGGTTTGGGCACAAATTAAATGTTATCCAAGGCTGCCCTGGCTATTTGATAGGGCCAGACCAAGTGGTTCAAGAAATGGATATCCAACATGCCAACCTTGTGTGTGAGGCTTAATCTATTTGTCAGCTTGCTACTATAGCAGAGACAACCTGTCATAGCAAATAAAAATAATAAATT